TACACTCGTCCAGTTCTAGGGACTTTCAAGCCTTTCAATCATACCCACTGGGTCATTTTTAGAGCCTTTTAAAATTGCAACCATGTTTACTAAAATTTGAGAGTCATACAATTCTCAACTTTCCTTATAAGTATTTATCTAAGGGAAGTCCGCGTTGCGCTCGAGTGTACACTCCGACCAGCTGAATGGCCGGATGACCTTCTATTGGGCTCGTGTTTCGGTTGGAGACTGAACGACAAAGTCTCTCTTAATTAGGTTCATGATTTATATAGTCAACTTCTGGGTAAAGTGGTAATTTAATGCTTCTGGCGTTAGTGACGCATCGTGTGCGTCATATATGTTGCCCACAGCGATTCTCATAGTGTAAACTTTGTGTTCAATATGTATTTACTAAGTCAGCTATGCGTCCTCTAAAATAATTTTTGTTATCACCACCAGAAGTATGTCATACTTTTAACTTTATGATAGATTTGAGAGTACCATTCAGATCAGTTTACTGTTTCCTAAAAGTGATTTACTTTTGATGAAATTTCTAAAGTATATCGAGCACAATATATCAAATACAAACTGTAACAATTTCTCGATTAGTCTAACGCTTACATTGAAGTGGCTCGCAAAACAATCTCTACGGATTTCTAAATCATGTACGCGCACCCTTTATGTACATCAGAAAGGGTTGGTGGAATAAGCCCACGGAGGGTGTATCTCGTACAACCCCGATCATCGTATTCGAAACATTCCCCAAGACAGTACACGCGTCTCTGTTCGGATATCGATACATCAGAGCACAGCTCGAGTCGAGCGTAAGCAAACAGGGTAATTGGTATTGCATCACCGTTCGTTCGGTAAGGGAGATAAATTCGCGACGGCTAAATTGGCAGGCTAAATTGGCCGCGTTTAAATTGACCCTTTGCTGGGGGTGGTTGAATCAACGTAACAAGAAACGCTGGGGGGTGGTTCCTTTCCGATTGATGCGGCCATCAGTAACCGTCTTCCGAAGTAAAAGCCTCGAAACCCCGGCAGGGGGTTGCGAGCCTACGGTTAGGAAATATTTCGAGCCGGGGATTTCACCGAAGGTCCTTCATGCTCCCAACCAATTCACTTACTTTGATTTGATTGGCTTCGCGGTATGATCCGGTTTTGGCGTGCGCGATCTCCGCGGGAGGGATGAAACGGGGCCGAAACGGACGGGGAGAAGGTGACCGTAGAGAGAGAGGGAGGCTTTGGCATCGTGTTTTGTGAACCCGCGACGCAGAGTTATATCGGCAAATCCCCGGCAGCAATCAACGTATTGGTTGTTCTTATTAGAGTTGGCAACAGCCAAAGTTTCTCTACCCCTACCGCACTCTGTTTATGGTCCACTACATCCCGTAGCAGTTCCTTCCATTCGAGGGACTCCCTTCTGATTCCCAGCCTTCCGATCCCACCGGATATCGGGATTAGCTTCGCAACCTTCCATGCTAATTCGCGTTTTCGCTTTTAATTTCATGCAATCATCGCAATCGACTGCGTACATAACCACAGTACTGAAGATGCTGAGATTCAAATTAAGTCTAATTAGTACTGCTTAATGCGAATTAAGTATACGTATGTGCAGTAGATTAATGTCTAACGTTGCCAGTTTCCCTATAAACGACCAGTTAATTCTTATTTTTAGCGAACTTCGCTATAATTGAATTTTCCATAAGTTTTAGTTTATAATGAATTTGTTAAATGCAAATCTGAGATTCATCGAACCGAGCACTCTAGTCAAACAAATAAATTTTCTTCTCCTCTTGGACTACCAAGTTTTTTCTTTTAAGAAATACATAAGTAAAGATCGAAATATTTTCACGGACGTTAAAAAGAGCCTATCCCTGTTTTATATCATCTCCCTTTGTCCCCAGACCAACATCTATCGAGATCTTTCTTGTTCCCCGGATGAAACACGTTTCACGGTCTCGGCATAAAATTGATCCACCCCCTTGGTTAAACAGCCACCATCCGCCTCTTCTTACTTTTCCGGCAGCGTAGCGGCCTTGGAATTTTCCCCTCTAACGTCGTTCCACCACGATATCCCATGAGACCCAGCTAAACTGGGGTGAGAAAGTACGATGGTTCAGCAAGTTCCAAAAAACCGACGTATCCGACAAACTCTACAGTACAGGATAAAAAACGGCACAATTTTCAGGCTAAAATTCGTGTAAACCTCGTTAATTTCCTGCCGGTAAACTAAGTAATTAATTACATTACATGATACATAACGGCTTTATGTGTCACATGACCATTTGTCAAATTTTTGGATTTAAGGATTATCGTGGTGAATACTTTCTTTTATTGAGAGTTGATGACAGAAAACTTTAAGGATTCTTATATTTCACAATCGAGAATATAATAATAACGCTACTCTCCAAGGGCCTGAACATATAACCCTGTTTTTGCAACGAAGACGAAAGGAAGGTAAAAAAGAAGTTCGATAGGAAATTAAAGAAACAATGGTGGAACGGAAAGAAAAGAGGGCACGCAGGATCGTAGGAAGGTGTGGGCGGGGGCGGGTTGTCGCATTTTCTACTTGGCGGAGACATACGAGGTCGGCTTAATTGGCTGAAGCCCCGGTTTTATTTATAAGTTCGAGCGAGTCTATCGCGCCTGAGGAGCAGTAGCGGGCCAAGGGGATGCTGCTGATATAGCAGGGACGCTCCAGGCTGGAAAAGGAAGACACCGGTCGACGGGGTCTGCGTGACAAATAACCCTTATAAACGGTACGCCATAACTCTCAAGTCCTGTGCCCCTCTCCTCGTCCTGCTTGACAAACTGAAATGAAAATCATGGGGATGTTGCGTGTAGCGACGGGAGAAGGGATGCGATGCGCGAAGGGAGGAAAAGCCGAACGGGAGGGGTCGGAGGGATGGCTAGCGAGGCTGGTGGTGGTAGCTCGAACGCCGGGACACTTGATTACGTTGCGATAATATACATGATGCCGATATGAACTCTGCCTGGTCGCGTTGTCGTTCGTCTACCGACGCGATATTGTGTAATGGCCAACTGGAAATGGTCCAGAGTGCGGGGCACGGTGTGGCCCGCGCGACTCTGTGACTTTGTTGCCTCGATAATAGATCGGTGCGGATACGATTGTAAATATGACGCGTTTATTGCTCGCCGTTTCGATTCCTGCCTGCCCGTGAAAGTGCCTATAGAGCATGGATGTTGCACGCTATCATAGAAGAACCGTCAGATAAAGAAAAATGTTAAAAAAACCACAATTTTTGCTCCTGTCTGGGAACGAAAAATTTCCGATCAACATTTATCGGCTCAAATTCAAACAATGACCATTCGTCGTTGCAGCGGTCATGATTTCAATTTCTTCGATCAAATTTCGGAGTTTACCCCCGACTTATTAATTTTACCGTGGGATTTGATATCGGTGCGTCAGTTGCCTCTCAGCCAGCGTAGTGTGCCCGGATTAATTATTCATAACAATTAAACCCTTCGAGCGAAATTAATTTCTCGGTTTATCGCGTAATAAGCGACGGCACGGGGGTGGTCCGGATGGCGTTTAACCGAAATTAATTGTTCCGAACGAACGAGTCGGCCGACGGAAAAAGCGGAAGGGTCGACGAGCGGCAGAAATCGTATTACGGCCATTTACGTATTACAGTTCGACATATATAAAGCGTATAGCGAGCAAAAGGCAGAAGGCAGATTGCCCACGGACGCCGAGGGGTTGCTTTTGGGCTCCGTGCGCCGCCTCGTTGGCTGAGGTGAAACGGAAGGGCTTTTTACGAGGCAGTAACGGCCGATAAGGTGAGCTTGCGCCCCCCACAGACGGGTTTATACCCGTACTGTACCCAAGTGGCTGTTCGACACTACCTATCCTGCTGTCCTACACTCTCTTGCTCGGTGCCTGCAACTTCGCCACGCTCTATCTGGAACCGTTTACGCATCCTCTTCTTTTCTTTTCTTCCGAACTCCTACCGTAAGAGTTATCCACCTTTCTTGCGGTGCTATCCAGAGAGTTGCAGGGATTTTCGAGCGTTCTTCCTCCAAGACCACGAATCTTTTCTACCCGAATACGATGCAACGAGAACGGTGTTTGGTCTTTCGAGCGTTGGTCGGATTAAAAGATCGTGGTTTATTTGAAATTCTAATAGGACAAAGACTTCGCGAACCTTCTAGATTGTGTTCGATGATAAGCTGGCTGTTTTGGGAAGCTAAACGCGGAGATTGTAAATCCGCTTCATGCGGTTAAAGAGATGTTTCCATGAATACACGTGGGCAGGTGGAACTAGTCGAATGAATATTATTCTCCAAATATTTTTTATTTCTTGATCGACTACTTCGAACTCGTACCTGTCTTATTGACGGCTACAAGTCTTAACGTTTATAAAAGTTTACGACTTGTAAGACCAGTGGAATGGTCTTTTAGTAATGATGGTAGATTATAAGGTGACTGCATAACGATCGCAATTAATTCTGTTACGAAGTGCATTTTGTTAGCACTGTGGGCGACTGATTACATTTTAACTAACTAGTTCTGTCAGGAGTTGTAGTTAGCAAGCTATTGATATACAGTAAAAAAATATAATTATTACTTTCGTTTTATCTGCATATCTATACATGACAGTGTTATATCTCTCTACATATCTATGTATAACAAAGTGTTAATATCACCGCGTCAACGTTCGTTTCTGACTATCCGCACAAGGCTGCGTTTACAGTGGACACGTTCTGACGATCTAGCATTATATCAACCATATTATAAAGAGACAAAATTCCCACGAGCATGACGATGTAAGAACGTGTGCGCCGTAACCGCAGCCTGAGAGACCCGCGCATCGTTCGCGCGCAGTACCGGTATCGGATCCGATCTCTCCGGAAGCCGTCCGGCAGAGAGCCGGAGGAGAGCGATCGCGAAGAAAAAGCATGATCCGTGCGAACGCGATCCCGAAAGACGACAATTGGCGATCCGTAGAAAGAAGGAGAGCTCGTTTGTGAACGTTGGTTGGTTTTGTTGGTTACAGGAGCGAACGGAATGCGCAGGCGCGGCCGACAGACCTACACGCGCTACCAGACGCTCGAGCTCGAGAAGGAATTCCACACGAGCCACTACCTCACCAGGCGGAGGCGGATCGAGATGGCACACTCTCTCTGCCTGACGGAACGGCAGATCAAGATCTGGTTCCAGAATCGGCGGATGAAGCTGAAGAAGGAGTTACAGGCGATCAAGGAGCTGAACGAACAGGAGAAGCAGGCGCAGGCGCAGAAGGCAGCGGCAGCAGCGGC